CGTGACCGTGACCGTGACCGTGACCGTGACCGTGACTTTGACCATGACCGTGACTTTGAACATGACCGTGACCCTTACCGTGACAGTGACCGTGACCCTTACCGTGCAGTTGCCAATAACTTTTGATCGAATCAGTGATCATCAATGTCGCGCGTCATGATTGGCTAAATCAGTCATCCAACCTCTATCCGACGTACTAAAGGTGCTGACGCACGGTGCAACATTGCGCGCAACATTGCAAGAAACAAATTTGAATCGGGGTGACACACATTGCAACAAAATCACGCAATATCGCTTGTGTCAGCCTGATATGTTAAGATGCATGGTCAGAAGTTATAAATTTGGTGCTAGCTGATTGGCTGGAAATTTCAAAATGTTGCAGGTAATGTTGCAGCCATGTTCATATGATGAAATTTGTTGCGCGCAATGTTGCAAGAGTAGAGCGCGATTCACAGCAACTTCAGATTTGTTGCATGCAACAAGTTTGGGGTAGACACACGCTGCAACAGTCCGGTTTCGTGCGATGTTGCATGCAATGTTGCACCGTGTGTCAGCACCTTAAGGGAGTTACGTTAGAAGATGGTTTCCCTTAACAAAAACGAATTGAATTAATTGATTTTTTTTATCGTCCTAACAGCGACTCATGCAGATCGACATTCCTTGTATCTTGTTGATAAGAACGGAACGGTAAGAACTAGAACCTGTACCTCTGACAAAACTATCTCATTCACAATCTTCAACTCGTCATCCTTTTTCACTTCTATTCTAGGATATCTATCTATATTCTGAAACAAAACCAAGGTATGTGTTACTTTTTTTGGTTAAAAGGCACGCTGCATAGTTTTGTCTTTATCATATTATTGTTCCATGTCTTTTTCTGAATTCCTGGGTAAACGTTACGTCATAGCCACCATCTTGGATGAATGGAACAAAGGAACCAACATGCCTGACATATTATGAATTTTTTTCCCTGAGCTTAACATTATGGTATAGCCGCCATGTTGGATGAATGGAACAAAGGAACCAACATGGCTGACATATCATTTTATCCTGGGCTTAACATTATGGTATAGCCGCCATGTTGGATGAATGGAACAAAGGAACCAACATGGCTGACATATCATTTTATCCTGGGCTAAACGTTACGTCATAGCTGCCATAAATTTCCTCTTGGCTTTTTCAGTTCTTATAATTATGCATCATGTCCGCCTTATCTCTATTTTTTAAGTGCTTGGGCTAACAATTATATTATACTTTGATTTAACTATTACTAGGTGTCGTACTCTTAATCGCCAACCCATCGGCAAAGGTTCTACTGTAGCAGCATATGTGGCAGAGAGTGGCGAGAATGTCTTCACTAAAGATATCTTAGGGGTGAGACCACCACGCTGCGCGCGGCATAACCGACAACAGCATGCAGAGAAATGTTACCCAAAGTTGCACTGGATCTGTTCCTGTAGCAAATCGCGCGACATACTCTATGCGTGCTAGTTTGATCTTGTTAAAAATGAACAATGAAAATGTGTAGCGCGTAGCATAGAAGTGTCAAATCACACGGCATTCATTTCCTCAACGTCAGTGGCCGTTGCAGACGTGTAGCGCGCAAAACACAGTTGCATATGACTTTTAAAATGCTTCTCCTTTTCGCTCGAGTGGTGTTCTCTTGATTTCATAAGGAAAGTGAATTTGCAGAACTATTATACTTTGCTCTTTTTGTTTAGGATGAAAGATTCCCTAAAGGGATCGGCATAGAAGGTATGATAGATCTGTCTGTCTGTCTGTCTGTCTGTCTGTCTGTCTTTCTGTCTGTTTGTCTGTATTTTCTTGATTTTCGATTTTCTCTCTTGCTTTTGTTTTTTTCCAAATGCTAAATTTATCTAATCTAGTTTTCTCCCCCTTTTAAGATAGTACTGCCCAGTCCGTTCTCTGTCAACCTATCATCCAATCAGATGGCATTTTAGTTGGTAAGGTGATCACGTGGTTTATCATTCTCACCTGGGATCTTCTATTCTTAATCAAGTTTTAATATTCAAAATGGCGATCAATACAATTTTACGTCATTTGGTGTTACCACAACGCATCATCTTTTAACAACCGTACAGAGTAAACAGGTCACATTTAGTAAATAACCGTGTTTGTTCTGAATGTAGGGGTTGTAGAGCTTGTCAAATCGTTAGGAAGTTCTCCTTTTCAAAAAGAAGACGAAGAGGTAGGAATGTCTTTTTATTCCTATGTCATGATACGATTTCAGTCAAGGCTAGACCTATTTAGACCTAGACCTTGAGAATAAGATTCTTTGTTTGAGTTGTATCGACATTCATGTGTCTTCTGATGTGAACTGTAGAACAAAGAAATAATACTCTAGGGAATGACACGTGGTCTGAAATGGTAAAACAATTACGCCCAAAGTAAAGAGATCTATTGTTGAGGGTCATATTTCCAAAGCTCCCAACGTTGATTGATCCGGTCGGTCCTTTGGTCGGTTGGTTGGTTGTCCATACCAAGTCTGATGCTTATTTTCTTTTGGTTGGTCGATTGGTCGATAGTGTGGTCGAATGATCCTTCGATCGTCGGTCAATCTGTTGGTGGGTTAACCCATCGATTTTGTTTCTCCTTCGTTTTGTTTATTGCTGACTTTGCTGCAAATTCTAGTTACATTCATTCCATTTTTCTATCTGTCTTAGTTCTTCCTTTATTGAATTACTTGAGATCCCATTTTTTTTCCTTTCTCTCGCTTTCAATCCCTTCTAATTTTCATTTTCTATCTGGCATATCTAGATTTTAAACAGTTACTTGGTGTGGGGAAGTATAGCAATTCATCACGCTGAGGTAAGTTGGTTTAATAATAGCTAATGATAATTATTTTTACTTTGACACTTAATTAATGCTCTTTATCTTCTTAATGTATTTAGATATCAAAGCAAATCCAAAAGCAAAAGGATTTAAACAGCTTTTTATTGAACGTCGTCAGGTAAACTTCATTTTTTCTTCTAGTTTATTGAGGGATGACTTAATTAATTAATATTAGTATTCAAATGATAACTTCGGTCCAAAACGTTAAACTTTATAATTTTCTTTAAAATCTTTAGCCTTTTATACTGAAACAAAAAAAAAAAAAAGCGTATTATGTCACTCAGTTCCTCCTTGTTACGTTATCACCCTTTTTGCCATTATCGTCATCATTTCATTTGCGAATAAAATCGTTATGAATAAATATGGGATATCAGGGGCGTGGAGAATTGCGAACGTTTGACCAATGGGAGTTTTTTATTTTTCTATTTTGTTGGGCTACCTGTGGATTTGGAGGGAATTTTCGCGCCAAAACGCGTGTGCTCACCATTCCAACTCTTGCTACGCCACTGTAGAACATGGGATTTGCTCACATCAACTGAGACCTCTGCACCTGCGTGATTTACATGAGTTTAGTTATTTTTTTCTGTTGTTATTGCAGATCGATTTTCGATGAGATATGTACCATGGATGTAGTTATCGAGAAAATTATGGTAAGTGATGGAGAGAAAGGAAGGGGAAAAAGGAAAAGAAGACAAATGGGATTTATTCAGAGGTTGATTTTTGTGGAGTGAGAGGAAAAACCGGAGAATCCGGAGAACAACCCTCGAGGAAAGAACCAACGATCAACTATATTTACATAGAAGTAGAATGGGCGAAATCATAGAAGGAAGGAACGAACAAGAGAATAAAAAATTGGAAGCCAAACATACTTATCTTCAACTTCAAATTTCTATTTCCCGTTTTCATTTTCCATTTGTCATCCCCAGGCTTTTGCAAAGAAGTTGGTCAATGCAGATCGTTGCTCTCTGTTTTTACTCGACACCAAAACAAATGAACTTTACGCAAATCTTTTCGACGAAGGAGACGAGGACGGTACGGGATTCAAGTTCAAAAACGGACTAGAAATAAGGTATTTAAACTTCAAAATCTTTCCGTCAAAGAGGCGATACAAATTAATTTCTTCCAACGTGAGCCTGCGTTCCTCTTTATGGATGAGACAGCGCGCACTCAAAATGGCGCATGCCTAAAGTGAGCGTCTTGCTCGTATAAAGTCATAGCCAGGCTTATTTCGTCTTTATCAAGATCAGTAACATTTACTACACTTAAGTTTTTGCTGGAATACACAGAGAGCCCGCTCTTACAACTTATCAAATTAAAAGTTGCGTGACGTATAATTCAAGTTCCTTCGAGTAAAGACTGCGCGCACCATCGTAATCATTGAAAAAATCCATTTTTAGAGATTTTAGATTTCTATATGGTAGATATCTTGAGCTTGGGCTACCTGTGGTCAGTCACCCACACAACGTAAACATAAGCTAGAGTGATTTTATTTAACCAGTGAAAGAAAAATGATTATTTAGTTTGTACTGGTTGATAACAAATCTTCTGCAAAAATAATGTGCCACTTTCCCCCCTTTCCCCCTAGCAATGTTGGCCAAGGAAGTTTTCTACACTGTAAACCGGTTGGCTGGTAAAATGCATGCGAGACAACATTGCTACGGGGGGAGAGGGGGGATGGTCCTCTTAAATACTAGGTGGCACATTTTATTTTGCAGAAGATTGTAGAGTGATTTTATTTAACCCGTGAAAGAAAAATGATTATTTAGTTTGTACTAGTTGATAAAAAACAAAAGAAAACAATGGGTTTAGAGTCTTCTACTAACTATTTTGCGTACTTTTTTTTTCACGGGTTAAATGAAATCACTTTAGACAAGTGGGTGTGTCTCAGTGTCATATATTTTGATTGTGAGAAGAGATAACTAGCTAAAAACTAGTGTGAGCTGCGTCGGTGTTTMTRATGAAACAGTAATGATAAAAGGGTAAATTATACACCGTGAAAAGATGAAAAAACTTACTGACGTTTCGGACGCTAGTCCTTCGTCGGAGTAAAAGAGCTCTTCAAAAGAACGGACGCTAGTCCTTCGTCGGAGTAAAAGAACTCTCCTCTTTTACTCCGACGAAGGACTAGCGTCCGAAACGTCAGTAAGTTTTTTCATCTTTTCACGGTGTAWAATTTACCCTTTTACCATCACTCTAGTCATTTGTGTGTATCTAAGTGTCATATATTTCGATTACGTTCAATAGATTCGAAGCTACTAAAGGCATCGCTGGTTACGTAGCTTCCAAAGGGATGATACTGAACATACGCGATGCTTATAGAGATCACCGATTCAACCGAGAGGTAGACATGAAGACTGGCTACACCACGCGAAATATACTCTGCGTGCCCGTCAGGTGTAAAGGAAGGTATGGAAACACACGGAATATCCTTCGTTTGCGCATGACGTCATAGACGCCATGTTGGAAGAATTTGACAAAAGCTTTTTCAATGATTTCTTTTGTCATATCTTCCAACATGACGGCAATGGCTTTATTTGAGTTATTTTACTCTCTTTGGAATGATTGCAAACTAAGTATAGACCCCTTGCTACCCCTTGCAGCACGTCGGAATGCAGCTCAATTTGGAGGACATAACAATAGGTTTCCAATTCTCAGGAGATAGAAATCCTTTTGTTTTGTCCTTCAAATTGAACTGTTTTAACGTCACGTGCAGGGGGGTCTACTCTATTAGCTATATCAAGGGCGGATCCAGGGGGAGGGTCGGGGGGGTCGCGACCCCCCTGTCATTCCTGAGGTCAAATGGGCTTCCTGTGGTAAAAATGCGACTGGGATTCCCTTGCCCACAAAATTTACCCCTGAGACCCCCCCTTCAAAAAACCCTGGATCCGCCCTTGTATATTGCTCAACTTTCTGTGTAATAATTTGAATGTGTCAGCCACTTGTCGTGCTCAAAATCTCTGTATTTGTAACTTGTTTCGATCTTAACATATTTACTTTGTCTATTTTCTTTAGTATTATTGGTGTAGTCCAAATGGTCAATAGTTATAGGGGATTCTTTTCGACTGAAGGTAACACAATTTTTAATCCTAAATTCTTCGTTACTTCTTTATAAAAAAGGAAAAAATATATAATCTGTCAAGAAATAAACTAGTCTGTCAAAAGGATGTCAGAATTAAACTAGTTAGTCATTCCTACTCAAAAAACCCGCTCCAAAGAGTACGCTTGCCATACAGCCAATGACTATAAGGGATTATTACACGTGCTCATCTTATCCAAGAACATTTATGGAATGGAATAAACTCCCAAAGGAAACAGCACTTGCCACCTCACTGGCTTCATTTACACCTTTTGCTGTTCATTAACAGAAAATGTACATTCATTTGTGCCAATAGTTGTATCAATAACGTGTAATGTACTTTCATCAACACCACAAGTAACATCATTAGCGCGGATCAACTTTCAATAACGATAATTGAATATGCGTGTACATTCATGGGCATCAATGGACAATCAATAGCGCGTTCGTACATTCATATGCGCGGATTGTATTTTCTTGTGCGCGAAGTTCAACTTCAATAACACCAAATGACAAACAATTGCATTTATGGACAATCATTTACCCAAAAGTGAAAATTCATTAGTGCTATTAGCATAATCA